ATATCATGAGGTAGTCATGATATTCCACCTTTTAGTGCAGTTTGCACGACAATTGTTAGGCTGCTGATGTAAATTGATTGATTAGTGTAGATTTGACAAATAATCTGAATTGACATTTCTCACTTTTTATATGGCACGAATCAATGTGTTATTTTATCAAGAGGCAATATGTCCTAGTGCAGTCAGAGGGGGAAATCCAGGGCCAAAGGTGAGGCATATCAAGCACATAATAATAATTTTGTGGTCATTTTAGATGAGTAGTTTTATGGACAAAAACCACCAGTTCATTTAGTGTTCCCTTAGTGCTAATGCATAAGAGAAGTTGGTGTACTATAACTGAAGTAATCTTGTTAAGATAAGATAAGATAAGATAACCTTTATTAGTCCCACACGTGGGAAATTTGTTTTGTTACAGCAGAAAGTGGTCAGTGCAAAGTTATATACCGGTACCAAAAATTTGAATACAATAAGAATAATATACTGTACACAACTGTACAGAATAGAATAGAATAAAATAGTAGAATAAAATAGAATAAAATATATATTAGGATAAAAATAGAATACAAATGTTATATACAACTGAGTAAAAATACAACTTACAAAAATACTCAGAAAAGAGTATTGCACTTAGTCTTATTGCACATGTGTGGGTTTGTGTGTGATCAGCTGCAAAAGTCTTTGTTGTGGAGTCTGACAGCAGTGGGGAGGAAAGACCTGCGAAATCGCTCCATCCCACATTTAAGTCCTTAAAGTCATATTCTTTTATTGTCTTGACTGTATTTGAAGCTGTTTTTATTTTTGTATGATACCTGATTTATATGGAATATGGCTGAAGTAAACTAAAGTCTAAAATACTTAGTGAGTCATTTGTTTAATAGTAATTTAACATTATATAATTCACATATAAAACTATGAATTGTAATTTTAAATGGTTTAATAGCATGTAGAATAGCATATGTAGGCAAGTGGAAGAGCATGGTAGCTATGTGCGGATGCTCTTCGTGGATTACTGCTCAGCTTTTAACACCATCCTTCCACACAAACTGGTGGCCAAGCTACAAGACCTGGGGCTTCCATACAGCACCTGCATGTGGATCAATAGCTTCCTCTCGGGCCGTAGACAGAGAGTCAGAGTTGGCCATCACACATCCTCAGCCCTGAGTCTCAGCACTGGCTCACCCCAGGGCTGTGTGCTCAGTCCACTGCTCTACTCTCTCTACACACACGACTGCACTCCTCGCCACCACAGCAACATCTTTGTGAAATTTGCAGATGACACCACAGTGGTGGGGCTCATTTCCAAGGGAGACGAGTCTACGTACAGAGACGAGGTGGAGCAGCTGACGTCATGGTGTAAGGCCAATAACCTCCTCCTCAACACTTCAAAAACCAAAGAACTCATAATAGATTTCAGAAGGAAAAAGGCAGAGATCCAACCACTATTCATAAATGGGGACTGTGTAGAAAGGGTGGCAAGCTTCCGCTTCCTGGGAGTCAATATAGAGGAGAACCTTTCCTGGAGTGTGAACACCTCCGAGCTGCTGAAAAAGGCCCAACAGAGACTGTACATCCTGAGAATTCTCAGGAGGAATAACATCACACAGAGACTGCTGGTGTCCTTCTACAGAGCCACCATTGAGAGTGTTCTAACTTACTGCATATGCATCTGGTACACTAGCTGCACAGGGGCTCAGAGGAAAGCACTCCAAGGGATCATTAACACTGCCCAAAAGATCACTGGCTGCCCTCTCTCCACACTGGAAGTTCTACACAATGCCCACTGTTTTAAAAAGGCCCAAAACATCATAAAAGACACCTCACATCCTGGCCACTCCCTGTTCGAACTGTTGCCCTCAGGCAGACGGTACAGGGCAATCAGAGCAAGGACTAATAGACTCAAACACAGCTGTTATCCAACTGCAATAACACATCTGAATACTACAAAAAAATGTCCATCACGCCACTCTTGTGTTAATCTATGCACGGTCTGAAGCATGTGTGTGGGAATGTATGTGAATGTTTTACTGTTATATCTTATTAGTATTTTAAGTATTCTATCTATTTTATTTATTGAATTTTATTGTTTTATTTATATTTTGATATTGCTAGGGATGATGCAATGATCGGGGACCATTCTTCATTTCGTTGTTCTCATGACAATGACAATAAAGTTTCTGATTCTGATTCTGATTCTGATTTCTCCTTTTTTATCAAGAAGCAAAGACAGAAAGGAAAAAAAAAAGAAACAGGGCAGAGTTCGGTGGCTGAAACACCAATGCCAAAACCAAATCTACGCCCTTGCGTTGACAGATCGTTTTTATAATTATAATTAGCTAAGCAAGCTGGGCCAAGTGATGGTTTTTTAACTGGTGGTTTAATTTCTTCCAGCTTGAAGGCCAGTGATATGTAGTACAGTACTGACAAGAAACTTAGGGTTTAAAGTATAAGAAATCTGCTATTTGTAAGGTAATAGTAACAATGTTAAAACAGCCAGCTGATTCACAGATATGAATTGTTTGGAATTCTGAGCAGTAACATATATTTACAGACACAGTTAAAAAAGGGTCATGTAAACTACTTAAATGTATATCTTTCAAATTACAAAAGAACTATGTAAAACCAGTAAAAGATTTAAACAGCACACTCTCTCCATCTGTTTGTGGCTGTATAGACATCCTCTTATTCATGCCATACTTTGCTAATGCAATATTACTGAGAGAAAGGAAAAAAAAAGGACAGATCACATAACTTTAACTTCCATGGCTAAGGGATAAACAGGATAACTTACGAGTGTCTTCAATGATGGCAGCATTACTTTGGTGTGTGATGCTACCTGAATCGCTTCTTCCTCTGCAGTGGTAGATACCTCCTTGTGACACATTAATAGCTTTCTTCCCTTCATATTCTGTCATAGGCTCGTCTTTAGAGCCATATGTGGCAGCTCTGTACCACAAAATGGTCCAGTTGTCAGAGCCGTCCACAAAGCAGCTCAGTGTCACGTTGCCCCCTAGTGGTATCTCATACCTCGTTGGTCTCAGTGTGGCAGTGGGTGTGTCAAAAAGGTACTTCGCTTTTCCAGTAGTATTTAGAGAAAAGCAGAAAGAGAGAGATTTATTTTAAAAGCTGTTGTTTCAGTTATTTCATCTTCACAACAAACGCAAGAGAGTTCAAACAAGCGTCATAAAAGACAATGTTCAACTTGATCAGCTAAAATAATAGCTTGAATTAGAATTGTCCAAATTCGGATGTTAGAGGTATGTATAACTCTGAGTGTGTTAGCTTTCCCTAATACCACATATAACAGCTGCTGTTTTATCGTGAGTCCAGCTGGGTCTAGGACCTCAATAAACTGAATATGAACTGTTTACATGAAAATATCTATTTAGGAGATAAAAACTAATCTTTGGTCTTCATAACGTGAGAATAAATGCAAGACAGCTAGCTGGGTCACAGACAAACTGTAAAAACTGCATAAAAAATTATGTAAGCAACTTAAATTTATAGTCTTTATTTTGTAATAGGTTTTTTTCTTCTTTTTATTTGTTCTCATATTTACTCTGCACCCAATATTAGTTTTTATCTGACAGGAAGAGGTCTTTCCAGAGGCTTTTGGTGTTATTGTCATGATAGCACACTTTAGACAGTGTTAGAAATATCGTCATGCAGCCACAATTTGAGACAAGCTAGTCATCTTACAGTGCAGGTACAGAGATTAATTGTTACATATGTATAAATAGATATGTATATATCTATGACAATGCTCAAGGTAAGATATATATATATATATATATATATATATATATATATATATATATATATATATATATATATATCTTACCTTGAGCATTGTCAGAGAAAAGTGCTGCAAGCTCTATAACAATTGTTAAATCAAGACATTATCACATTAGCAGACAATCAAAATCATTAAACAATGGAAAAAAAGAAAATTAAAAAAGATTGCTATACACACACACACTCTCTCTCTCACACACACACACACACACACACACACACACACACTGGTATGGGTTGTATGCTTTGCCCTTTTCTCAAACCTTAATCACTTAATTTTAAATACATCTGTGTGTCGTCGGCATAACATTGATGTGCAATGTTATACTCCTCAAAGATTGTGCCTAAGGGGAGCATATACAGTGAGAAGAGCAGGGGGCCAAGGACAGATCCTTGAGGCACGCTGCAGGGTTAGGGTTAGGTGCAGCAGAGGAGAAATAAGGGCCAAAATTGATCGAGAAGGACCTATTAGAAAGGTATGACTTAAACTAATCTAGGGCGGCACCTCCAATGCCAACTGTGTGTTCAAGCCTCACTAATAGGATGTTATGATCTACCATATCAAAGGCCGAGGATAGATCTAGTAGGACCAAGAATGAAGAGCGTCCAGAGTCAGTATTCAGAAGGAGATCATTGAGGACTCTGAGCAAGGCCGTTTTAGTACCATAACAGGGTTTGTAAGCAGACTGAAATTGATCATAAATGGCATTCACATCCAAATACGGCCGGAGTTGTGAAAGAACGATCCTCTCCAGTATTTTGGACAGGAATAGAAGCTTAGAGATCGGCCTATAGTTCCCAAGATTGTTATAACATCTACAGGTGATTTTTCATTCAGATTGTGTAATAGAATTTTTCACAATCTATTCAGAGATTATGTGGAGTTAAAAAGCTGAAGTCACTTAAGATCATCTATTTCAGTTTTTTCTTACTTCATGGGACATCACACTGAGTGATGTGTGAATGACATCTTTCATAAGTCATTTTTGGAGGTCCAATTTTGGTCCATTGGAAGGGTTGTTTTGTAACACCAGGCAATGTCTTTTTTTCGACATCTGCTGAACATCTAGTGTTGTTATTGCTAGGATCTTTATGTTTACGAGCTATTATTGTTCAAATGTAGTGGTTGTGGACGTCTTTTCAACACATTTTAATAAATGACAATTTCAACCTGGTTACAAACAAATAACTTGATTAATTAACATAAACAAACCAGTCAAAGAAAAGCAAGAAAATGTTAAATAACCAAAACAATTACCCACGTGTACTTATTAAATATATAGGCTAACACGTAATTAATCATGTTTGTTTATACATAACCCACATTCATATGCATCATGTTGATAACACCACATTAATGTTTATATTTGTAAATTAATAAAAATACATTTATTAATCATGTAAATTCCCTGCACCTGTAATAGACATCCATAACATCCAAAAGATTACTCAGTTAAAATCCAAATGTTGAACATCATATTGACCTTCAAGTTGGGTCACGGTTGGGCTTGGTTGTGTATAGATGTACAGAATTAGTCTTTGACCGACGGACCCAATAAAGACATGATCTGCAAGTCTAGAGCTGGAATTCCTTTTTTGTGCCATATTTGTAGATAATAGTGTATAGAGTATGAGTATGAGTATGTATTTAATGTGCTATCTTCAAACAAACTAACTGTGGAAAATCTGAAGCGTCACTGATATTTGTGTAGCAGAGGAGCAACAGTGGGTTCACAAAAGGATTATTTTTTGCTTCGCAGCTACGGCTCTCCTCACTGACCTGTAAAACATCCACATAAAGACATAGAAAGTTTTATGATGCCATGATGAGCCAAAACCTGAAATCCTTTAATCAAAAATACTTATATATATATATGTGTGTGTGTGTGTGTGTGTGTGTGTGTGTCTGTACTGTACCATTTCCAGTGTCTTCCATTTTTGTTTGCTGATTCATAGACAGCGGCACTACCTAAAAAAATAAATAAATCCAGCAACAATTATTTTAAAGTCATTAGACTGAATAAACAACAACAACAACAACAACAACAACTTTTATTGTATAAATAAATCCAGAACTATGCAATTTTTCATAATTCAAAATATTTTCATACTGTGAGTCTTTTTAAATTAAAATATTCTTCATTTGGCTGCCAGCTGCCAACACCTTATCACATAGTCACCACAACACATTATCTGACTCCATCTCAGCCTCCCTGTCATTCTCCACAGTCACACCAACCCTCTACATGCTCGACTAGTTATGGATAGATGACACCTTATGCACCTTATGTCACCTGTGTCAATACTGTGTTGGCGTGTTACTCGATATGTGCTGAATTGTAAAAAACAAAACAAAACCCCCCCAAAACATTTCAGGCTACTGGGATCCCAGATGATACCAGACTGGAGAAAATCATGTTTTCTGTCTACTTGCATTGTTTAATGGAGGATAAAAAGCTAGCACCTCTCCTCTTGGTGATTTGGAAATTGCAGTCAATTTGGCTCAGTCACATGATTTTTTTTTTAAAGCTATACACACACTGATGAATCTTCTTCTACGGTCGTCTGCTTTACCTCCTCTAGGGCAGCTCCATCTTCAACTTCCTTTGTCCACTATGCCCACTGTCCTCTGCACATATCCAAACCATCTCAGTCTCACCTTCAATCTTGTCAACCTGAGCTGTCCCTCTGATGTACTCATTTCTACTCTTGTCTATCCTGGTCACTCCCAATGAAAATCTTAATATCACAAATCACCCCTAACACATTGTCAAACATGTCCTGCTCCACCCTCACAAACTTCTCTGTCACTTCTGACTTCCTCCAGCAGAACCACAGTTGCTCTCTTGACACCATATCATGTCACAGTGTGTGAATGTGTGTGTGAATGGGTGAATGACTGAATGTAGTATGAAGCGCTTTGGGGTCCTTAGGGACTAGAAAAGCACTATACAAATGCAGACCATTTACCATTTACATAAAAATTTGACTTGTAACGCAGCCTCAATCAAAATTAAAAATTTAATAATAACAAATTTAAGTACTGACCAGGATGAAGGGGGCTGGTTTCACTACTTTCATTCTGGCTGAAGATTTCAGGTGGTACAGTAGCTAGTGTGATAACAAACATTTAAACAGTATTAAGTGACACTATATGAGACATTTTTCAAAATACAATTTAAAACCATTCTCCCAAAAAAGAACAAGATTATTTCGATGCTCATATATGTGCTAATACAACAAATGACAAGTGAGTTCCTTCTCAAAGATTACGATTATTTTAAAAAAAGTCACATTTTTTAATGCTACTCACATTTAACCGTCATGTAACGCGATGGTGACTCTTTTCCTGAGTACTGACACTTGTAGAAACCTTCATCAGACTTTGACACTGCCAAGAAGTTCAGCTCCTCTCGGGAATCATTTTGGACAAGTTTGTCATTGTGATAAAAAGCCACATTGGGAAAGATTTTTTTTCTTCTCAAGTTGCAACTAAGACTAACAAAAGTTCCCTCATTCACAGGATCAACAGGGACCACCATGAGAGGACCAGAATAAAAGTCTGCAAAACATACAGAAGATATTGCTTCAAATGGATCAGCTGGTGCTGGATTTTAGAAAATAAAAAAGAGGGAAAAAAACATGTGCAATAATAATTACTGATTGATCAAATGTCTTATAGCTTATAGCTAAAGATCTGATATGTGACTTATAAAAAAAACAACAAAATCGTCCTTTCTTTTAGCTCATAGAGCCCTTTCAACTGTCAAGTGTGTCTCAGTGAGATGCTATTCAGCCTCAGCTGAATGGGGAGTATCATCACATCATAATCATATATATATATATGTACTTGAAAAATGTTGGTAAATTAATTTATAAAACATGGAATGAAATAAAACTAATAACGAAGAGTATTATGCTGCTGAGTTGAGATTCCAAAAATAAAATAATCTTTACATTTCTGCCTCTTTTTCCATGAAAGAATTGCTTAACATACATAGTGATAGAAATATTCATGAAACGTTATAACACAAAAGGGGGAAAAAAAAACATTCTACAAACCCTGTAAAGTGATGTTGACTGCATTGCTGAACTCTTTTAACATAGACTCACACCAGTACACTCCGTCATCTGAATATGTTGTGTCGATTGTGCATACAGATTCTCCTGACAACCAAAAGTTGCTACAATATGGCCGGCCATTCTCTGGGAACTTCCTCACTCTCCATGAAGAAGAGTTTCCCTTACAAGTCAGTTTGACAAAGTCAGAGCCAAAATTTTGCACTACAGGGCCGACTGTGAGAGACGCTGCTGATGAAGCATCTGAAAAACAACATGGATCAATAAGTGAAAGCACAGGAAGAACACATAAAAACTAAGCATCATTACAAGTATTGAGAGACAGAAAGAAACTGACCAGCAGACCAGACAAACTTTGGATCGCTGTAGTAGGTGTAGTAGTAGTTGCTTCCTCTTTCCGCTCTGCACACATATGCTGCTGTGCTTGTCTGCCCAGTAATGATGTACAAACTCTGAGCAGTCTTGCTGCCATCAGGTAGCAGCTCATACGTGTAGGGCTCCTCTGTTATTTTATAATAAGGAACAGCTTTATACCAGGAGAAGCTCCATCCTTCAGAAGGATATTCAACCTCACAGTTCAGAGTTACTGAGGCTCCAGGACTGAGCCATGAGGGAGACAGAGTGAGGACAGGATGCAGTTTAACTGTTGAAACAAGATTTTTAGATTAGGCTTTTTTATTTATGTATTTTTTAAAATAATATTGCTATATGATGGGTCCACAAATCAGGCCAGGTTCACTCTTCCCTTTTGAGCAAAAACATTTAAATAACTGGATGAAAACATGTAAATAAATATCACCAAATCTTGACAGTGGAATTACAAACTGTACCACTGTCATACATAATACTAATTTTATTGTTGTCATTTGAACCACACCATGTCACAATACGCTGTGTGTGGCACACATAAAGTAACACACTGGAGAACACAATAACAGACACTGAGATACAACTGGAAAAACACGACATTTAGATGTGACAGACTGAGAGGGAGTAAAAAAAGGGAAATATGCACAAAGATGCTGAAGACAGAACATGGAGATCAGACTAGGCATGAAAAAGGGAACCAACATAAAACAAGAAATCCAGTGCTATAGCTACCAAATTCAGAGAAAAAACACACATTCTAGAACTGGAACATAAATAATTTCTTAACTCCAAGGCAAAGAATCATGCGTTCAGAACAAACTCAAAATACTGGGTCATTATTTAATTAATCAGTCAAGTGACGAGTTGCTTTTCTTTCCAAGCTCCTTAGGTTACCATGGCCTGGATGAATGAGAATCTGCACAGACAAGTTATCGTATGTCTTTTTTTTTGGGTTTTTTTGTTTTTTTACTAATTTGAATGAAGCAGTTTATATGGATGAAAGATGCCCAACTTACATGATACAGTTACTGGAATGACATTACTCCACTGTGTGAAGGAAAGATCCGTTTTGCCTCTGCATTGATAATCTCCATTGTCATCCCAACCAACATTGTAGAATGTTCTTTCATTGGTTGTATAATATGTGGTAAACCTTTTTGGTCTCCAATCATAGCTCCAGTAAGTTCCTTTACCTCCCTGGATGTCACATCTGACAGTGAATGTTTCACCCATGTATATCTTAGTCCAGTTGGGCTTCAGGGTCAAAATGGCCGTAATAGGAACTGTTCACATAAAATATGAAATTAAAAGAAACACAGAAGCATCATCTAATTCAGTCCAATTAAATTTATTTACATAGCACCAAATGATGCCAACAATTGCCTCAAGGCTCTTTATATTGTGATGTAAATACCCTGATATATATATATATATATATATATACACATACACACACATATATATATACAAACACACACACAAAGTCTCTCTATCTGTCTCGCTGAGAGGAAGACAAAACGAAGGACAGATCACATAATCTCATAACTTTAACTTCCATGGCTAAGAGATAAACAGGAGAACTTACGAGTGTCTTCAATGATGGCAGCATTACTTTGGTGTGTGATGCTACCTGAATCGCTTCTTCCTCTGCAGTGGTAGATACCTCCTTGTGACACATTAATAGCTTTCTTCCCTTCATATTCTGTCATAGGCTCGTCTTTAGAGCCATATGTGGCAGCTCTGTACCACAAAATGGTCCAGTTGTCAGAGCCGTCCACAAAGCAGCTCAGTGTCACGTTGCCCCCTAGTGGTATCTCATACCTCGTTGGTCTCAGTGTGGCAGTGGGTGTGTCAAAAGGGTACTTAACTTTTCCAGTAGTATTTAGAGAAAAGCAGAAAGAGAGAGATTTATTTTAAAAGCTGTTGTTTCAGTTATTTTATTTTCACCACAAAAACAAAACAGTGTGAAAAAGCAGCATAAAACACAATGTTCAACTTATTCTGCTAAAATAATAACTTGAATTGAAATTGTCCAAATTCGGATGTTAGGGGTATGTATGTATGTTAGCTTTGCCTAGCACCACATATAACAGTGGCTGTTTTATCATGAGTCTAGGACCTCAATAAACTGAATATGAACTGTTTACATAAAAATATCTATTTAGGAGATAAAAAAAAAACAAAAACAAAACTTTGGTCTTCATAACATAAGAATAAATGCAAGACAGCTAGCTGGGTCACTATTTATGCATGTGTTGTTGTCTTACCGTTTTTGAGACAAGTTAAATTTATAGTCTTTATTTTGGACTAGGTTTCTTTCATCTTTTTCTTTCTTTTCATATTTCCTCTGCCCAATAGTAGTTTTTATCTGACAGGAAGAGGTCTTTCCAGCGGCTTTTGGTGTCTTTGTGATAATAGGACACTTTAGCCAGTGTTAAAAATACTCTTCATGCAACCGCAATTTGAGACAAGCAACTCATCTTACAGTGAAGGTACATAGAGTTAACGGTTACATATGTACAATATAAATACAGAGAAAATGTAACTTTAATTGTAACTTAGAGTGCAGATAGTTTATATATTATAAAAGAGAAAGAAAACAACTTCTTACCTTGAGCATCGTCAGAGAAAAGTGCTGCAAGCTCTGTAGCAAAGATTAAATCAGGACATTATCAAATTAGCAGACTATCAAAATCATTAAACGATGGAAAAAAGGAAACTTTACAAAAGATTGCCTGCCAAACACACACACACACACACACACACACACACACACACACACACACACACACACACACACACACACACACACACACATATACTGGTATGGGTTGTATGCTTTGCCCTTTTCTCAAACCCTGCTAATCGTTGGTCTAGACGGAGTAGTCTTTCCACAGGTCCTGGACTCCTGAATGTATGGCTGCGCTGTTCTAAAAAGTATGGGGGGGGAAATGGGTCACTTCAGACCTCTTACACTGTGTGTGGAAGTCAATAAAATCTAAAACACACCAACTGGACATTTTGAATTTGGGCAAATATGTCTTTCATAAGGTCAAAATAAACAGTTTATAAGGACTCTAAAGGGACAATGATGTCATTTATTAAATCCAGCCTCATTAACATAAATACACCTTTGACATAACTGTGTTACTGGAACAGCAGTATTTTAATAACAAAAATCTGGTTTTGCTAAACATAACCCTAAAATATGTAAATCAAAATATATTCAAAATGTATATAATATATTTTATGGAAATAAAGAGAAAAAAAAATTACTCTTGTTTTACAAAAGCTTTTTTCTTGTTTGAAGAACAGCTGGAGGGCTGTAGTCACAGTGGGTTCTTGTTCCCCTCTCCACACAGCATCTTTGGATTTCAGAGTGGTCATCGGGTTCTTGGTCAGCGTTCTCACTAAAGCTAGTCTATGTCAACTGCTCAGTTTGGGCAGCTGAATAGTTCTCACAAGGGTCCTATTTGTGCTGAACCTCTTCCATTTGAAAATTATGGAGCTCACTACACTCTTGGGAACCGTCAGTAGAGCAGAACATTTTCTGCAGCCTTGCACAGAGCTTTGCATTGTAAAACCTAATCTCTGACCTCTGCATAGAGTTCCTTTGACTTTATGGCCTTATTTTTGCTCTGATGTGGATAATCAGGTGTGAAGCCTTCTATAAAGAGGTGTATGCTTTTCCACATCATGTCTAATCAGTTTTGGTCCACAGGTGTACTCCAGTCAAGCTTTGGAAGCATCTTATAGCAATGATCAATTCATTTATTTCATTTTGATTACAGTTTGTCATCATGAGATACTGAGAGTAGATTATTAAGAAAAAATGAGACTGAATAACTCTGGAAAAAAAGTAAACAAGGATATAGACAAAGAATTAATCATTTGAATTGAATGCAAAACCAACATTTATCTAATAATAGTCGTCATGTAACTCAATGGAAAGTTAAATCATAATCCAACCCTCCTGATTCGCTTTTCCTCTTTCCTCTGTAAGGACACATTCAAAACGACTGGTGCATGTGTTTACCTGAAAGTGTAATGAGAGCAGACAGGAAGAGCAGGGGGTGGAGCATCTTGTAGGGAGCCATCTAGCGGATAGGGAACTATAAGACAACAAAGATCGAAACCACTAAACAGAAAGTTAAAGACACATTCTGAACAGTGCACATTATTAAAAAAAATCATAACATGCGAACAGACTCAGTGTTTGAACAAAGAAAGTGTAGTGATTGTAATTCATCTCTAAAATCTGATTCCTCACACTTATATTTCACACATTTCTCTAGACTGGAAGAGAACTCAGTTTGCTATTTTTGTTTTTATTTAATAATCAAATCCAAAAGTTTAAAGTGTTCCTCGGCCAGCATATTTACTATAAATAGTCTGTCACACAGTCACTAGATTTTTTTCAATAAATACCAGGCATGTTTCATTTCTGGGGTGTAGAGTTTGGTGTTTACCTCAAATATAACCAGCTGTGTGTCTGTGATAAACACACTTATGTTGTGGGTAAAGAAGTCACTTCTTGATTCTGCCTAAAACAACATGGATAAAAAAAAAAAAGAGTTGCATTTTTTAAATGAGTCACTTAGTGCAAATCTCCTGGAGTTTCAGTCTTTGCAAAGCAAAAAATGATTTTTAATGCCATCCTTCCTTACAAACAAAACTGGGATTAAGCAATTATGAAAAATTATAATTTGTTTATAATTAAGCAATTATAAACAAATTATGAAAACTAACATAAAGATGTAAGCAGCCCGAGGCTCCTTTTGCAGGAACATTACAAAATAACATTTTGAATAAGTTGCATTTGAAGGTTGTACATTTAATAACATTATATTTTATATTCACCTGACTTTACATCATTATCATGACATGGTTAACTACGTTAACATTATGACAACAATGCATAAAAGAACCATTATTATCTGCTCTACTTGTGTTTGGACTAAAATGCTAAACTGGCTGTATGTTCTTGTAAGATCTACATATACCTTTACTGACTCTGTTAAAAGTCACAGATTAATTTCAGGCAATCATTAAAATATACTTTTACACAGAGGGATGGAGTTCAGTAAAGTATTTTCATTATTTAAAAGTGTTTTTAAAAAGTCACTTCCTGTTATTTCTCCAGATGACACCACAGAGCTGCCTTTGGATCTCTGTGTTTTTATTGTTTTTCTTGTGCAGCTTGTTTACAGTCCTGATGTGTTTCAAGTAGAACTTTGCAATGTGGATGTAAGTAAGTAGGTAAAGTTTATTTAAATAACGCTTTTCACATATTTCACATATAAAAGTGTCAAATTAAAAGACAATATTGAAATGAGATTCATGTTAAAACTGAATTAGAATAAATAAAGTACAGGTGCCGGCGTGCTGAGGAGTACATTGCGGCTCATCTTACCTTGGCTCTGATGAAGGCTGCTGTTCAGAAGGCGATCCTGGTGCAGCTGGACAGATTTGTCTGTGAGGACAGCTCTGTTTATATGAGTCCTCACCTTTGTTCACGCCCAGGATAGGATGGGTGGAGGTGTAGTTCACAGTTGAGCTGCTCGATGGGAACCTCCCACTGATGATTCATTATGTAAAAACGAGGCCTTGACTGCTCCAATCAGAGAGCATAATTAATTGCACCACTGCCTGAAATGGTAGCAACAGAGTTAGCTGGGGAACGTCTATAACTCACAGTACTGTGAGTCTTGCCAGTGTTTCCTGCAAATATTGCACCTTCATTTTTCTGCTTTAGTGCCTCAGTTTTCATTTTTACCGATCAGCTGGTAACTGACTGGAGCATATACAACTGATGGCTGTAGATAAACGCCTCTAAATTGATGTCTGTGACTGGTTTATGTGTGATATTAATTACACATTGCACATCGCCAGACTTCATAGCAATCAGCAGATCCTGAAAAACTTAAAAAGGTAATAATATGGGCGGGCGGGCAGGCTTTGGGACATGAGAGGCCTTTAAAATTACTTTTAGGTAATTGTAAGAATGTGGCTTAAGTGTCACAAAGCCATTAAGATTTTGTAATATGTAAAGTCAAAATAAAATAAAAAAACATCTGCTTTATATGTTACGTCTGACATCAGTGTAATCACAGTTAAAGTGGGATTTGGCAGATTTCCAACCCTTACCCGTATTATGAAAAGTTTAACCTGCCAAGTACTGTGACGACCTGAGCGGCAGCATTCTGTCGCTCTGAAGATGCTTCAGTGATAAGTCAGCGACGACAGAGCTCATACCTGGAGCAGGGGTGCATTCCTTTTACTCGTGCTAAAGTGAGCAGTAGCGCTGTGTGCATAAACCCTGCTTTTCACCTGCTGTATGTGTAATATATATGTGTGGTATTTATTAAACTTAAAGCAAAGGCTTTAAGTTTAATAAAGCCAGGCTGACAAACCATCTGTCAGCCTGGCTGTGGCACAACAGACACTATGCTACAACACTGTGCCAGTTTGTGCCTCTTTATGAGGTTCATGAGTCCTACAGCTTTGGTGTCACTATTGCAACTAAAGTTAAACGTAGTTAAATGACCCACACTAGTGTGATTTACTAAGAACTGCAGTATGTAAAGCCAACCCCCCCCAAACTCTAATGCTGCACTTGATGTGGGTGTGATCATGGGTTAAAGTGGTATGAAATTGGTTGCACGGCCAGTCATGGCTGCTTAGGAACCCTTAACCAGCATAAAGCATAAACAGCATTTTTGTAACTTTTAAAGTGCTCTTGAGTGATATTTATAGGCTTTCTAAAGGTTTTTCAGTTTTTTCTTTGAACATTAGCAGGTTTTTCACTTTGTCCCATCAGTCCCATCCATGTATCCAGCTATTTTCATAAGAATGTTTCATACAGTTTGGCAGGAAGGTGCACAAGTTGATTCCCAAAGAGCTGAAGACTATCACAGCATAGTGTGCAGGATTTCCTTAAGAACTTTGAGAAAAATGAACCAGTGGAGGAGAAAAGAAGTATCAGGCTTGAAAAACAAATTTAATAAATACAAGTGTAGGCTGGTTCTCAGGAGGATATATAATATAATCTACAACAGAAAAGGAAGAAAAAGAAATTAAGAATATGATCAAGTAGAAGGATGATACGGAAAATTAATAAAATAAATCAGACGATATCCAAAGAAACACTTTGAAAGACCTCCAGAAACCCGGTGGAACTACTTATCAACACTACTTGAAAACATAGAGAAGAATGTCTGGCTTCTTGGTAGGAAAAGATGAAGCAGTGACAAGTGAGGGGTGGGTCAAGAACACTGAACACTACTGTGCATTTCTTTGCTGTACATTCTTCCTGGGTGAAACATTTGACTTCAGTGCTATGTACCAAAACAAAGTGCAACACGAACTATGTCATGCCAAGCTTGTACACTTTGTCAAGACCTGAGTGGCAGCATTCAGTCACTCAGAGATAAGTCAGTGGGGGGACAACTCATTCCTGGAATTTAGTTTGCCATCATTTGCTCTATTTTCCTGAAGAGAACAACAGGAGACAAAAGTCTAAAGCTCATGTTTGTGTCTTTCAAATTTTTTCCAAGCAGCCAGATGTTCTAGTAGATTTGTTTAAGTGCTCTTCAGTAATAGTTCTTACCTTGACTTACAGTCCTGACAGTGGTGCTATTTAAAAAAAACAACCAATGTTTGTTGCCACATGAAGAATGCATTGGGGTTTCATTAATACTGAAGTTGCATTAAACTAAGTCACGGGGTGCAGCACTGTATCCTGGGAATAGATGAACTACATGTGGTCATTGTGAACTTAGAGAGTTTGTCATGATTAGGCTGTGTGCAGGCAGGATGAGGACCCAAACGCAAGCTCACGGAGGCAAGAATGATCTCAAAACACAGTTTTATTGCTGAGGGAAGTTAAGGCAATACAAAATAATATGAAACTAAACTGGGAAGTCATAAAGGAACTGACTCATAGTGATGTGTCCTGTGTGTCGAAGCTTCGAATCGTGCGTCGGGTAATCTCGGGGGCGTTTTTCTGAAGCGCGTATCGACGCTCGCTTTGATTACGTATGCAGTGACGTTCGAGGCCTCGCGGGCAGTCCGTACCACATGACTGATTCGGGAACTGGTTCACCGGTTCGCGCCAGATTCCAAATAAAATGGGCAGCAAAACACAGCTGATTCCCCATCACATCGTGTTGTGGAATTGGATTACATACGTGTTACATAGTTACTTGAGCATTTCCTCCCTCGATGGAACCAGCAAGGAAAAGAAAATTTTCCCCTGTCTGGCAACATTTTGATGTCATCTCTCCTAATAAGGTATACACACTGTAATAAAGAAATGATAAGCACCATAATATAAATAAACCACACCACAGATCCTATAATCAGATTTCTGTCATTTGGTTTATTAAAAGGTGAAGTGTTTGCTGTGCTCTAAAGAACTTGGATACAGCAACAACACCTCATCTATACTGAGGCATTGCAGAGCCCTGCATGAGAACAAGGAGACTAACCAAGGTGGACCAAGCTCAGGTGAGTTTTTTTTAGGTTTTAAGGATACAGTCATTTGATACATTTATATTCCCCATGTCATTCACTTATATTTGGGTTGTAATTACTGATATCTGTAATTTCTTAATGTTTTTTTGTTGTATTAGGGGAGAGGAATGATGTGGATGAGGCCTTGGTCAACATGGTGATAGAGGATTCCCAGCCCTTCACTATTGTGGAGGACAGTGGGTTTAGGAAGCTTGTTGAAGCTTTGAACCCTAACTATGTTCTCCCCACAAGGCAGGTGTGTATCTTAAAATATGAAGCATGTTTCCATTTGGCCTTTATTTCCATATTAAGTACTGTACCTTCTTTTGTTTAGGCTTTGAACGCTATGGTGGACCAAAGATACAAAGAGTCCAAACAAAAAGAAAAACTGACTGTGGCCAAGGCGTCTGCAGTTAGTTTGACATCTGATATGTGGACCTCCATTAACACAGAGGCTTACCTAGCCGTCACCTGCCATTTCATCGATTCTAACACTGCATTGCATTCTGTAGTGTTAGGTGTTCAGCACTTCCCTCAAGCACATACTGCTGTCAATTTGTCACGAGTAACAGAAGCGCTCATGTCAGAGTGGGGCATTACAGACAAAGTTACATGATGGAGCAGCAAACATGGGTGCCTGTGCTAAGGAGCTTCGTTTGCGTCACAGTAATTGTGTGGCACATACATTAAACCTAATGGTCAAAAAAGCTCTTGAGCAACACACGACGCTGTCTGACATCCGGACTACCTGTAGGAGGATAGTGGGATATTTCAAGAGCAGTACAATTGCTAAGGTTTGTTCCATTATTTCATTGCTGCTTTAAGGTGCTGCTGCAGTAACACAGCTTGAATTAATCAGTTTGTGTTGGCTGTTTTTCTAGGAGAGGCTGACAGAGGTGCAGGAGCAAATGGGCCGACCTGCACTGAAGTTAATTCAAGAGGTGGCTACACGTTGGAACAGCACATTCCAAATGCTTCAACGTGTTCATGAACTCAGGGAACCTATTGGAGCATCGTTAGCTGGCCTGCACACTGATATTTGCCCACTATCCTCTGAACAGTATGAGCTTATGGCAGAATGTCTTAAAATACTCTCCCCATTTAATGATGCCACCACTGAGGTGTCAGAGGAAAAGCGAGTGTCTGGATCCAAAGTAATTCCACTTTTAACAATGTTATACCATGCACTAAATGAAGAGGGAATGGGAGTTGTCCTAACTCCAGAGAGCTCCACCATGATTGAGTGTCTAAGGAGACAATTGAAGGAGAAGCTCTACACATTGCAGTCAATGAGCATCATGTCACTGGCAACATTGCTGGATCCAAGGTTAAAAAAAAATAGGCTTCTTTAGCCCAAATAAAGCAATGGATGCTGAGAAGAGACTCATTTTTGAATGTGCTGCTATTTTGCGGCACGTGGCCTTCTCATCAGCAGCCTCATCAGCAGCAGCCTCATCATCAAAAGCTTCTCAGCCTGTGACTCAAGGTATATGAGCACATTTCGATTACTATATTGTATTTAGTTACTTACATTCTGTTTGTTTCAGGTAGCAAACTGTGGCATCGTTTGGAAACCACTGTTCTGGAGACAAAGACCCCAAATGCTACTGCTGATGCAACAGCTGAAGTACAGACATACCTCCATGAACCAAATATCGGCAGACTGGAGAATCCGCTGAAGTACTGGGCTGGACACAAATTTCTTTATCCAAACTTGTATAAACTTGCTGTGGTTTTTCTTGCAACCCCTGCTTCATCTGTGCCCTGTGAGAGGATATTTTCAAAAGCAGGAGAAATCCTCTCAATAAAGAGGAACCGTCTTAAGCCCAGGAAAAGCTGTGGAAAAGCTGCTATTTTTGAATAAAAACAAATGAAAACTTTTCCCTAGTGTCATGAGCACTGTTATAAAGTCACAAGCACATTCACATCACAACTCCCTCCCTTTTTGTTTCCATGTACATTCCTGTGTTAAGCTGCCAATTTATTATACACAAACATTAATTAAATTAATATAATATAAAATTAGTATAATATTAAATATAACTAATATTTAGAGTTCAGTTATTGGTGTCATGAACAAAAGTAATTTCTTTATTCATTCAACTTGAAGTGCCACACACTAGTTTGTGTCATTATTGAGATGTACATAAGCATGATTACGCAGTTACACAATCATCCCAAAAACTGTGTACTGATAGTTTCCAGTTTCTCTTTTGTATCAGACATACTGAGACAATATTCGGGATAAATAACCATAAAAAACAATTTATTTATTCAGTTTAGAGGTTTACACATCACATCATTATAATCATTGAGCCCGTTTCACTTGAATTGTCCACTTGATGGCGCAGTAGAGCAAATGAATCATCACAATGCTTCGAACCATGAGTCGACCAGTTGGATGGGAAGCTTCAGTTGATCACGAGGCTTCATCTCACCATCACTACTGACTCACGAGGAAACACACGGAGGGGCACACAGTCATGACGGAGAACGCAACCCTGAACTGAGGTAGACGCGGACATAAATACTCAGAGAATACTCAAGTAAAACAGGAAGTACACAGAGGTTCAGACAGGAGGCGAGAGAGCACGGGGAGGGCACAGACACAAGGGCTGGGGAAAACATGGAATAAAACACAAGGAGGGGAAACGAGGGCTCACAGATAATAATAGTAATCAAATAAGGTACATCTTAACAGAACAACCTAGGAACCAAGGCAGGAATAAAGAACAAAATACAAAACACACGACAACTAAGAATACTGGGCCAACATGGCCCAGGACATTGTTTCTCATTATTACGTGTACATTTTTCACCTCAATACACAGATTCAGATTTCACTCGTTATCTAAGTAGGCAATATCACCAGTGAGTTAAACTGTCCAAATGCACAGCAGACATAAACATATTTGTAGGTTGGTTAAAAAATAAATCATTTGGACCTCTGTGTAATTTTTGCCTTTCACAATTAATTGGATATTTTTTTCAATAACTCTTTCAATAACAGAGAATAGGCTCCTGTAAGAAACTATGTGCTCAGTATTGCTTCTTTTCCACTAATCGGGTGCCTACCTTGTTTTTTTTTAAAGTAATATTAGAGAAAGAAGTGGGAGTAATGTTAGTAGATATGTTTCTACAGCAAGAAGACATTAAACACTTGTAGACTAAACACCTCTTTTTCAATGCACCATGTTTTTGACTTTGTCTGTTGAAGGTCCATCGCATTTTGTTAAGCAGGTAAAGTTTTCAAACTTTAGGATTTATTACAGCTAATTTATGCTCAACGTGACAGATTTGGTGGTGAGTCAGTGGAGGGACAAACAGATCTCTAAAAGGTAGATAACCTGACTGCCATTAGATATTAGGAAGAAATTATTGCCAGACAACAAAAACAAACCAAAACACATTGTGGGTGAGTGGCTGAAGTCAGTTGGGAGACCGCACACGAAATTAAATACATGAAAACATGTCAGTACCTGTAAGATGCCTTCATTGGCAGTTCTTTATGTTCACTATTTGATAGCAAACCTTTCTGTTTTAATATAAGAGAATTTCAACAGTACTTATTAGTTACTTTGATTAAGTTTTGTCTTAGTATTTTCTTGTGTTGCACATTTTTGACACATTTTTTTTCTACCTGACTGTGGTTCAGCACAGAGGAAGTGAGCTGGAGGTGGTTTGATTACTGATGAGTGACTGCATCAGTAATCAGTCTGCTTTAACCACAGACTTGCTGTTAGAAAAACTGAGACACTGAGACAAAGACCAAAACTGTGACAGGATCTTGCCATCAGTGTGGGAGAAACACATTTCTAAAGTCTTTGTTTTAGCCAGAAAACAGGAAACGCTTCATGCAGGTTGACCTGCAGCAGTCTTCCTGCCAGCACTACACAGAAAAAAAAAGAAACTATGGGCTCAAAATGGGTCATAAATATTTTGTACTTGTAAATCAAATGCATATTTTTGTTTTGTAACCTCGTAAAACAAAATATGTGAAAATTCAATGTTTGTGTGTCTACAGATGAGAATTTGTGTGTTTGTAAAAAATATTTACACGAGTTACACATTTTTTGCTTAAGGTCTGGTTACAGATACAAAGCAAAAACCTGCATGTAAAACATCTGCGCTCAGGTTTCCTGGCTGCGTGTGGCTTTCAACTTACACGTACAAATTTTGACTTGATTTTTCTTCCTTTTAGCTGATTGGTCAATGTCATGTCAATCAGAAATTTAACAATCCAGTCCGAGAACAGATGGGTTTGGCTGTTGGAGGGGTGCGTTAGGCAGAGTTTTACACTCAGGTTTTTACAAAATATTTATGACCACACTTTGAGCTCATGCAAAACAGACCGTGAGCCACCACAAAGTCACGAAACTATGCTAATTTGTGTAAAATATGATGGACGCAATCTCAAAGAAAATTATACTCATCTTATACTCAGACTGCAAAACTCTGGGGTTGACATTTTTGCCAGAGTTAGGGTACAAAGTGTGCCAAGAAAATATGGCCCACACCTCTACACCATGACCATCATCAACCTGAACTGCTGATAAAAGGAAGGATACATGATTTTATAACATTGTTGTAGTGTAAACGTTGTCATAGATGCTATCCTGCATACTTTGATTGTAACAAGTGCTTATCTGAGTTATTATGAACCTACTGTGCCATCAAAGCAATCAGATCACTCACGTCAGACCTATGACATCAATAAGGCATTTTCTCCCACAGAACACGGTTTTCTACTTCTGCTTTGTATTTTGATTTACTAAAATATAAATGTTTTAGGGTCCCAGGGGAGTCTAGGTCACAGCTTTGGAAGGTGCTTCAGGTCAAGAGGAAGTTAGGTGTAAGTGGTGGAGCTACAGAAAAAGCTGAGCGCAAACACACCACAAATGGCTAAAATAGAGACACATTCAAAGTTTCAGTTACACAGAGAAGTGTCAAACGAGAGTCTGCAGGCTGTGATGTACATGAGTCTGTGGAAAACAACACAGGTTATGTGCATTTACTATCACAGTATAAAGATACGGGCGTCATGTTAACTGCTGACATGTACTTGTGTTGTTGTTGATCAAGCCTGCCTGATGCTAACATAAAACCTATAATATAAAAATGTGCCACAGCAACATCAGGATGTCAACAAGCTCTTTCTGTTATACTGACATGTAAAAAAAAGCTGACAGAACAATCAAAATTTATTCATAAAGCTCAGACAAACAAAGACTCGCATTGTGATGTCACATAAAATTCACACAGTCACATAAAATTCACTCAAAACCACAATTTGATGGAGCATAAGCTCAGAACTGATGCTCAGAGGTCACCGCCGCAATATCATCATAGTCCTCAGACATTCTCTGCTCAGCATTGGCTGCTGTTGCCAAGATGACGGTGGGGTCATTTCCTGTAACATGAGGTCATCAGATATTTTTGAGGCAAAAGCAATTGAGTTTGATAAATAATCAAGGATACTCAGAGTCTTACCTTTGGCTCTGTGTTGATATAAAGACACCAAGACGAGAGTGGAGATGAAGTATGGACAGAACACCACCAGGTGACAGACCAGCCTGATCACTAGAGGGAGGGTGGTGGAGGAAGGGGACAAAGCAGAGGTAGGGTACATATTTGTAGAGGTGGTGGGCAAGGTTGTGGTTGTAGGTCTCCCTGCAGAGAGTTCTGGTCAGTGAATATATGGACAAAATAAGAGGTGAAATCAGAGTGAAGCTCCTCACCTGTGACAGTGATCCAGCTGGATGGAGACTCTCCATGACCGCTGATGTCACACTTGTAGAGGCCTTCATCAGACCTGGAAACATGCTGGATGGTCATGTGACCTGTAGGCTGCTTCCTGATGAGGGAGCCATCTTTATAGAAAGCAGCTGGGAGGTTGGAGGGAGTGGTCTTTGTTTTACAGAGCAGAGTGACGTCATCTCCCTCCATCACAGGGAGGACAGGACTCTGCAGGATCACTGATCCACCTCAACACAGAGACAAACTACAGCATTTCATCCATTTACACACAGCTTCATCAACACTAACTCCACACACTCAGCTTACCAGTGACTGTCAGGTTAACCATGTTACTGATGGGACCCTCTCTGGACTCACACCAGTAAACTCCACTGTCTGATGTATACATGTAACTGATGTTACATGAAGAACCAGCTGCTTCTCCCCACCCATCTCCACACTGAGTCCTCTGTTGTTTGCTTGTGTTTCTCCTCAGAGTCCATCCAGCAGAGCTGTCGTCCTCCTCACAGCTCAGAGACACAAAGTCTCTAATAAAAAACTGAGAACTGCTGGGACTCACAGTCAGACGAGCTGTGAAGAGAATATTTAGTAATTTCTATCACATAAAATAAATGATGTGACTCTACTTCCTTTATACCTATGAGGGTTACCGTAAGTATTTAGCAGGCTGAAGTGATCTGTTTCTGCATGATTGTCATGTCATGCTACAAGAAAGCTCAAAAAAGGACGAGGCACTTAGTGAGGTTCAGTTCATGTCAGGTTTAAACTGTGACAGAAGAAGGTTACTGACCTTGGTTTGTTGTGCAGCTCAGCAGTGAGATCAGAACTAAAGAGAAATGACACTTAGTTTAATTTGAGTTTGACATTTAACTAAACAGGAGTAAAAACAAATCCACCAGACTGTGAAGAACACAGTCTGAGTTGATACTGATAAGCGTAGAAAGGATGAAACAGTTTTCTCTTTCGTGTCCTACACAGAGGCATGTGTGCTGGACTATAGTGCTGATAATCTGTTAATATCAGCAGGGACACGGTGTAAAGCAGTACATTTACTCGAGTAGTTAATGGAAATTCTACATACTTTATACTATGTTTAAGCATTTCTTTGTTTTGCACCTTTCAACTTCAGCTCAGCTGTATCTTGGATTAAAACATTGCACTGCACACCAGATATTTTAAAGATTTAAGTACCATATGTTGTTATATTATTATAGATAAACTTACCGAGCAGTATATATTAAGTCGGTTTTTCATTAAAACAGTTGGTTGGACACATATGCTGGACTCACAACAAGGGAAACAAACTCAAAACAGCTTTAATGCTGAAATTGTTCAAAATACAAAAAACAAAACAAGGCAGTGCTGGAGCCAGGAGTACAAAACTAGGAATCTAGGGAAAGACACAAAAAACAGGAGCACACTGCATTGCAGGCATGATGACAGACAAGGGGAGAGTATAAAGGTGGGAATAAATCAGGAATAACAAGAACAGGGTGAATTAACTAGAGACTTAAGAGACAAAAGTCAACCAAAATGAAATAAAATACAACAGCAAGTAACAGATGATAAGGCAAGGCAAGGCAAATTTATTTGTATAGCACAATTCAACAACAAGGTGATTCAAAGTGCTTTACAGAGACATTAGAAACAAAAACAAATAAAAAGCATGATTTAAAATTGATTAAAACAAGCAAACAAACTAACTAACTAAACACACACATTCACATTCACACCTGTTCGTGCGATCTGAACCCTTATCATAAGGGGAGCTACCAGTCCTTCTGTGGACGAGCTACTTTCTATTTTAAATTCCCTGAATTTAAAATACTCTCTAGATAAGCTCACATATGTGAATTTAACATAGAGAGAGAAGACAAACATGGAGGCAAGACTGAATGAACAGAATAAGAACACAAAAGGCTCGTCATAAAATGTCAAGGAACTAGAAGCATAACAAGAAATTAAGAAGCATCAGAAAAGCAAAACTAAAATCATGAACAAAGACTATGGAGCACAAACATAACATCTATCTTAAAACCAAAAATAAAGCCACAAACCCACGACACACAGAATAAATGAGCATCAGGACAGAAGAACTGAAATAACAGCAAAAGGAACTAGTATCAGGTAAACTGATATAAAGACCAATGAACCATAAGAAATAATAACAAGCTAAATGTCAACAGTGCAAAATACAGAACCAAGATACAAATACACAAAAAACTGAGAAATTCAAACAGAGGAATTTTACTTTTTGGATAGAGAAATCTTTGTACCTTTATACCTTCTGATATTTATGAAAGTAGCTTCTTTTAGAATTTTTTTAAAATTGCTGTTGAACAAAAACCACATTAAGCTACACTAAATGTCATGCATCTGTATGACGGATGTACACAAAACTGTAAATCAGTGTATCCATGTCAATTTTCTGCACTGTATTAATTTATTATGAAATATTCTGATTCCCTGTTGACCCTCTTCCTTTTTTTGGTGTCCTTGATAAAAACTCATCTACTGCCGTCCTATTCTAATCCAACCTGAATGCATGTTCCTGAAGAAATGACAGATATTCATAGATAATCATTTCAGTGTACTTACTGAGCAGCCACAGCAGAGATGTGTTCTTCATCCTACTCTCTGTGATATCAGGTCAACACTTTAACCAGTTCACGGTCAGTTAAAGTCAAACCGTAATCCTCTGCTCTGTGACAGGATGTAAGTGTTGTGGTTTTTAGCGGAAGCAAAGTTTCTTTGTCTGACTGCAACAAATACAAGAGAAAAAAAGCTTTAAAATGGTCAAACTGACTGTTAAGTGACTGTAGACATGGGCCCCAACAAATTTAGTTGACATAAAGGGGAGCAGATCCCTTCACTGACTTTAAAAAACAAACAAACAAACATTGTGAGTGGCTGAAGTCAGTCAGGAAACCACACACACACAAATCCCCACCAAAAACATGTAAATAACAAAAAAAAAAAGATATTTATAGATCGCCCACATGGTGCCTTTACTGACAGGATTATGTCTTTGTCATTACAGGGCAAACTATTCTTATCTCAATAATGATCATCATCAATGATTTATTTAATTTTTATCTTAGACATTGGTTGTGTTGATCATGTTGTTGATTCGTGGAAACAACTTGCATCTTCCTGTAGCTGACCACAGTTCAGCTGAGAGGAAGTGAGCTGGAGGTGGTACGAATGCTGTTTGACTGATTGCATCTCTCTGCTTTAACCACTGATGTGCTGTCATGGCTGAAAGGCTTCAGGCAGGTTGACCACCACTGACTTCCTGAAAACACTACCCCCAAAAAACTGTGAAAAAACTCACTCTTACCATCACAGATGTCCATAATGCACTGAGCAGAATCAACACTCGCAAAGGTGCTGGCCCTGACGACATTCCTGAATGTGTGCTTCGAGCACTTGCTGAGCAGGGGTCTATACAGACATCTTTAACCTCTTGCTTGCCCAGGCAGTATTACCAGCATGCTTCAAGACCACCTCCATTGTGCCAGGGAAAACGTTAAATGGATCAAAGGCATCATATTATTTTCCATTTTTTAATATTTCCATTTCTGTGTGTTCAGTGTAAACTTAAACAGTGAAAGAATGGATTACAGAACATTAAAACACTCACCATGTGCTGTGAAAAACATGCACATTTAAGTTCCAGAACATAATCATAATACACAAAATGATCAATGAAATGATGACCAGAGTCCCTGTTTTTATTTTAGGCACTAATTTTTAAGTCAGAGTCCATGTGTATTGTAAAAGACACTATGAGCATAACTGCAACAATGTCCCCTCTAACCTCTAAGTGTGCGCAATTGCGCAGTGCTGGTCTCTGCGAACAGAAAATCTGCGCTGCACACCAAAAAAATCTAACCTGCATTGAAATTAAAATAAATACGTAACAATTCTTTCTGTGCTGTTATGCAGTATGAGTCAGTAAGTGACCGGTGACTGGCTGGCTGCTCCAGCCAATAATGCGGTTTACATTCGTATATACGCAGCTAAATAAAGTTGTTGACAGCGTCCTTATGTGCCGCTTCCGTTGTTTTAGCTACCAAAAGTGGCCAATGTGGAGTGAAGACTCTTATCTGTCAGCTGTCGAAGTAAGTAAAAAAACAAACAAACAAAAACAAATAGGACTGAAAGAAGACAGGCTATATTGAACTCAGCAAAAGAGCAATTACCCAACTTTTTGGATATTATATCTCATTACTATTTAACAACAATAAGTTATTTAATTTTAAATATCCACATGGTTAGTAGCGGCAGCTTTATTGCTGGAATTTGTCCACTGTTATACATCAATCTAAAAAGTTACACCTGGCAGATGTTGATGGCCCCAGTGCGAGACTACGATGGGACCCCAGGCCCAGAGAACTGCTACACATCCAACTGAGCTCCCACTACACAACAAAGAGAACCATGAAATGAAATGTAAGTGTCCTGAGGTCAGTACACACCAGCTGCTGGAAAGATAGCTTCTTTTTTATTTAATTCTTTTTTATTTTTTAATGCTTGTACTGCACCCAGGCCCCACCCTCCAGCATAAGCAGCTCCAGTTAACAATATCACAGTTGTAAAGTGGGGCTGAGACCATGGACAACAATATTTCCTGACAACCAACATTCATCTATTAGGGTTGTCAGGACATAGTGAATGGTAGATGGACTGATTCTTATATAGCACTTTTCTACTCTCCCAGAGTACTCAAAACACTGTATACAACATGCCTCATTCACCCCACTCACACTCCGATGAACTCATCGGAGATGCAACTTGGGGTTCGTATCTTGCCCAAGGATATGGGGCATGCAGACCGGGGAAGCCAAGGATCAAACCACCAACCTTCCAATCAGTAGCTGATCTGCGCTACCACCTGAGCCAAAACCACCCCAGACTCAAGCACACATATGTGTGTGTTTGAGTGTGTGTTTGAGTCAAACACACATATGTGTGTGTTTGAGCCAAACAACCTTGGTGAATGTTTTACTGCCATTAATAAGTGTCATTAAAAAGAATGCAGGCGTGAGGCTTCACCTACCAGAACTTGTCTGTGTCATGGATTCAGTTGTGACAGTCACAGTGTAAAAGCAGCAAGCTGTTGCCAGACTCTGATGTTTTAACTTTCACTACACTTGCATGTTTGTAAAATCCTGTAATAGGAAATAAACTAACTGAATGTTTTTTTTTTTTATCTCTATAGTCCAATGATTCCGACTCTTTAGATTTGTTTTGAAGCTTATAATGTTGTCAGCCTAAAATAAATTATTGGACTGATAAAGTATTGTGTCGGTTGTTTGCAAAACTGGCAATATTTAAATACCCAGTAAGATAAATCAGTTACAAAACACATATTCATGGAAAAATAAATGTTTCCAAAATGCCTGAAAGTATAATTTGCAACCGTAGCGGATAAAAATCACAATATACCCCAAATCAGTGGACACACACAAGTTTAGGCCTCTCTTCCTGTTTAGCCCAATGAAACATGGGTGGGGCGATCATGGCTCAAGAGTTGGCAGTTTGTCATGTAATCGGAAGGTTTACAAGGTCAGAGGGCCTGGTGGCGCCAGTGTCCGGCAGCCTCGCCTCTGTCAGTGCGCCCCAGGGCATTTGCTTTACAAAAGATTCAATAGAAAATATCCATCCATTCATCCATCTTCATCCGCTAAATCCGAGGCCGGGTCGCGGGGGCAGCAGCCTAAGCAAAGAGGCCCAGACCTCCCTCTCCCCAGCCACCTCCTCCAGCTTATCCGGGGGAACACCAAGGCGTTCCCAGGCCAGCCGAGAGATATAATCTCTCCAGCGTGTCCTGGCCTCCTCCCAGTGGGACATGCCTGGAACACCTCACCCAGGAGGCGCCCAGGGGCATCCTGGTCAGATGCCCGAACCACCTCAGCTGGCTCCTTTCAATGTGGAGCAGCAGCTGCTCTACTCTGAGCCCCTCCCGGATGGCCGAACTTCTCACCCTATCTCTAAGGGAGAGGCCAGCCACCCTTCGGAGGAAGCTCATTTCTGCCGCTTGTATCCGCGATCTCGTTCTTTCGGTCACTACCCACAGCTCGTGGCCATAGGTGACGGTTGGGACGTAGATCGACCGGTAAATTGAGAGCTTCGCTTTTACACTCAGCTCCCTCTTCACCACGACGGACCGGTGCAGCGTCCGCATTACTGCAGTTGCAGCCCCAATCCGTCTGTTGATCTCCGGCTCCCTTCTCCCATCACTTGCGAACAAGACCCCGAGACACTTGAACTCCTCCACTTGGGGCAGGAACTCATCCCCGACCCGGAGTGGGCACTCCACTCTTTTCCGGCTGAGAACCATGGCCTCAGATTTGGAGGTGCTGATCCTCATTCCCGCTGCTTCACACTCGGCTGCGAACCGTTCCAGTGCGAGCTGGAGGCCCTCACCGGATGAAGCCAACAGAACCACATCATCCACAAAAATCAGAGATGAGATTCTGAGGCCACCAAAGCGAAAGCCTTGGCTGCGCCTAGAAATCCTGTCCATAAAAATTATGAACAGAACCGGAGACAAAGGGCAGCCCTGGCGGAGCCCATCACCCACCGGGAACGAGTCCGACTTATTGCCGGCAATGTGAAGCTCTTGCAACGGTTGTATAGGGATCGAATGGCCCGTAGCAATGGGCCAGACACCCCATACTCCCGCAACACCTCCCACAGGACACCCGAGGGACACGGTCGAATGCCTTCTCCAAGTCCACAAAACACATGTAGACTGGTTAGGCAAACTCCCATGCACCCTCAAGTATCCTCGAGAGGATAAAGAGCTGGTCCAGTGTTACACGACCAGGACGAAAACCGCATTGTTCCTCCTGTATCCGAGGTTCGACTAGCGGACGAACTCTCCTTTCCAGCACCCTGGCATAGACTTTCCCAGGGAGGCTGAGGAGTGTTATCCCCCGTAGTTGGAACACACCCTCCGGTCCCCCTTCTTAAAGATGGGGACTGCCCCTGATCTCCACGCAACATTGCAGAGGCGTGTCAACCAGGACAGCCCTACAATGTCCAGAGCCTTCAGGAACTCGGGGCGGACCTCATCAACACCAGGGGCTCTGCCACCAAGGAGTTGTTTAACTGCCTCAGTGACCTCGCCCCCGGAATTTGGCGGGTCATTCCCCTCATCCCCAGACTCTGCTTCCTCCTCGGAAGACGTGTCAGTGGGATTAAGGAGGTCCTCGAAGTATTCCTTTCACCGCCTGACAATTTTCTCAGTCGACGTCAGCAGCGCTCCGCCAGCACTATACACAGTGCAGGCAGAGCACCGCTTTCCCCTCCTGAGACACCTGACGGTTTGCCAGAATCTCTTCGAGGCAGTCCGAAAGTCTTTTTCCATGGCCTCTCCGAACTCCTCCCACACCCGAGTTTTTGCTAGACGTTCCCAGCACACCCTCACTACGCGTTTAGGTGTTCCAGGTCTGTCCAGCGTCCTCCCCCGCCACCTGATCCAACTCACCACCAGGTGGTGATCAGTTGACAGCTCAGCCCCTCTCTTTACCCGAGTGTCCAGAACATATGGTCGCAGGTCTGGTGATACGATTACAAAATCGATCATCGACCTACGGCCTAGAGCGTCCTGGTGCCACG